TTTCTCAGCTGGGTTCCAAACAACAATTTCACTTTTCATTTTTTGTCTTTAATGAAAGATGAGCTGTATATGGCTTGTTCTGTAGGAAAGATTTTCATTTTTCACTTTTAAATCATGAGGCATGGAAGATGGAGTAATTAAATATCTTTTGGGATACTTCTACTCCAAAGACAAACATTTTGATTTAACATTAGCTTAAGACATAACTTTTATTTTCACTTTGAAATGTTTGAAATATGAAAGATGATATAGATGGCATTATGTGGAAAATAATATATTCAGTAGTTAAAGTATTTTGTGACTTCTATCAAGAATTTTATGGTTACTAAGAGAAATACGCATGTCTGTTATTTGGCTGTGGCTGTGTGCATGTCTCAGTGAATTTATACTAATGACAGCAGAAGAACTGTCAGCAGATCATATGTGCAATGGGGGGGTCATTAACACTTTAAGTTACTAAGATTTTTAAGTTATTTAGATCCTCAAGAAATGCACAAGTTGTATTTGATTATATTTTGTAATATGTCCCTATTAACTGCATTCCAAAGAGTATCCCATGTGATTATAGACAGAACATAACATCAGATGTTTATAGAAATAAAAAATGACTTTTTATTTGATCCCTTTACTTGCTATTCCTATTGAATTTTTCTTCAGAAAGAACAATTAAGGACTTTAAAGGAAATAATCTTCCTTAGAGAATATTTGTATTATTTTATTATATCATGAATATGTCTAGTTCTACACAAGTTTATGGTTTAATTTTTGTTTTATTACCTATGGAGAATAAGCATTTAAGAAAGCACTAGTTTTTTTCAAGTGTGAAATCCTTGCATTATGATAGAGATAAGACATTGAACCTTTTTGAATTCTTCTACTCTTTTCATCATTTTTTAATTTAAAATTTCTTTTGAGATATACTTTTATTTTCATCTGTTTTAAAATTTGTAAATACATTATTGCTTAATACAAGTACCATAAGCATTATAAGGAATAGAAATTTGCAAATTATTTACCTATTAATTGCCACAAGGTTTTGCAATTCTAGAGCGTAGTAGTCATTCAACATTAATAAATGCATTGCTTTCTTCCTGTAAGCATTTGTTCAGAAATTATGGATTAAGACTGTGGGCCAGAAAGCGTTCATGGTATGCAAGATAATTAAGAACATTTAAGCATTCAGGGTATGCAAGATAATTAAGAACATTTAAGCATTCAGGGTATGCAAGATAATTAAGAACATTTGCCCCAAACTGCTTATTCCAGGCAGTGTAACATGACTAAGAAACTGAGGTAGCAGAGCTCAGAGCACTACATGAAGACTGAGAACAAGGGGTTTGCTTGTTGTACTTTCAGTGACTTTAGACTTGGGACTGAAGAGTGACTGGAAGTTTGTAATAGGGTGGGAGGCAGTGTCAATGAAAGATGTCAGGGTGAAAAGCAGGTGCACTTAAGTACCCAGTGTCAAGGGAAGTATGGGAAGGAGGGAAAAGCTTTGGAAGAAGGAAATGCTAGAGCATAGCTCAGAATTACCATCTGGCATTTCATACTGTGAAAATGCTTTAATATAATAAAATAAAAATAAAACTTCTGTGGTTCATGCTACTGTATTTTATCCTTTAACTCAAGCAGGATATGAGTTTAAGTATTAGTTGTTTTTGCCCCTGTAGTATAATTATAATAACTGACATACTTCTTATCTTTTACAGTGAAGTTTAGCAACTGCAATGGAAAAAGAAAAGTGCAGTATGAGAGCAATGAGCCAGCAGATTTTAAGGTGGATGAAGATGGCATGGTGTATGCTGTGAGAAGCTTTCCACTCTCTCCTGACCATGCCAAGTTCCTGATACATGCCCAGGACAAAGAGACCCAGGAAAAGTGGCAAGTGGCAGTAAAATTGAGCCTCAAGCCAAACTTAACTGAGATGTCAGTGAAGGTATAGTATCCAATTAGGATGGGCTAAAAATCAGATTTATTCAGTTTGAACGAAATACATGCTTTACTTCAGATCACATTAATGGATGGCCACTATTTGAATTTTTATCAACTTCAGTCATTGTAATAGTATTTTGTTGTGTTTTTCCATCTTTAAAGATACTTAGACTAAATATATTTTAAGCAACTAGAAATTGTGTTTTAAAGATTTGTTTATACTTTGAGATTTATAACTTAATTTAAATTAGAAGCAGTTTTAAATTTCTTAGAAGCTCTATAAGCTATTAAATAAAACAAAAAATAATACTTTATAAGATGTCATCAGTCAGATTTATTAGATGAATACTATAGATTTAAAGTAGTAACAGAAAAACATTTCTGGCAATGAGAATTTGGTTTTTGTCTTTTTCTTTAATAATCAAATTGAGGGGTATGAATTATTTATATTACCTTGACATTTTAGGAATGATATACTCCCTCTGGTGGAGGCTACTTTGAGCCAAGATGAAATAAATGAGATATATTTCCAGCAGGGTGCCATTCAGTTCAACAAATATTTATTGAGCACTTAATTTGTATAAGTCCCTGCTAAGAATTTTAAATAAGATACAGTAACTTCAGTAAAGTTATGATAATATTATTTTCTGAATATTTTAGTTTTATTTAGTTAATTCAAAACAAATATGATGGGACACGCCCATATATTCTGAAGTCCATGAACTATAGAACTATGCCTACTACTTTTGCTTATACTTACAGAGTACTATACTGTGAGAGATAGAAACACACATATTCATTTCTGGTATTTAATTGTAAATGTCATATATACACCACAATCAAACAGGAATAATAAAGGAAAATGTATCATTTTTCTCTTATTTCAGTGTTGTGGTTTTATTATATGAAATTTAATTTGTTAATCTATTAACTGTTCAGGGAAGTCATGTCATTTGGGTGGTATAAAGTGAAAAACCAGTAACTAATGGAGTGAAAAGATGCTTTTGTTGTTGATTTGCTGTGTTCCAGCTAACTAGCTAGGATATTTGCACTGAAGCAGCAAGGGCTAACGGCTAAAATGCCTACAGCTAGAGGGAGAAACAGAAGGAAATGTTGACATCCAGCAGAGATTAATACCTAATGTGCAAAATGCTTCTGCTGTAAAATGATATGTGTCCCTTCCCACCTGATGATTCTGTTGACCATGTGGTCGTGCTTAATGTCAATGGAGACAAAAAATGTAATCCTTCTGAATATCTAGGAAGGGGAGAAAAACTGAAGATCTTGACAGCATCACTAATGCTTACATTAGGCTTAATATTTCAGCAGCATGGCAAGTAGATCCATGTTTCTCAGCTAGAATGCCATGAATCGTATACAGGTATACTGCAGATACTCACTGGAACTGTCTTTTAGTTTTATAGTGGCTGCAAGAATTGGTGAAATAGCATACTTGGCTCACATTATATTTCTGTCGGATAGCATTTACCCTCCAGGCTATCAGCAGGTAGCTGCTTGTGCTGAGAGAGGAAAGTAATCCTCAGATATCAAGAAAATGATCTCTGGGAGAGTGGTGGTGATGTCAGGTTATGGATGTTCTAACAAGGACTTGGCATGTCATCGCTACCTCTGTCATTCAATGTAGTTGATGTGCCTTGTGCTGCTGTGCCTGTTTTCCTTATTGAAGCTCTTCCTTATCAAAGCTCCTCCTGTGGCCTGCAGGAGTCTCTGCCTGCTGGCTCCTGAGTCCTTATGTGATGGTCATAGTCATCCTTGATCAGTTCTTGCTCTCTGATGTGAGAGAGCACTTGGAATCACCCATAAGAAGTCCTGATTTCTTTTAGTAGAAAATGGTATTTCAGCATGACAGCCTAAGCATACAAATGATTACTGCCATAAGTTGGTCATTACTTGTAGGCTTCTCAGTGATCTGAACTAAGAGAGTTCATATAGATATTTCCAGTTCACATTCAGGACTACATCTTATTCATTCTTCCACTGGAGAATTATTACCTGGTCGAATCAGAAGATGATGAAATTAGAGAATCGCATAATTACTCATTTGCTTTATCCCATATTACACACAAAAGTATCAGAATAATATGATTACTGAAAACAGTTAAATATTTTTCCCTCATTAAAAAAAAATTCATTTGTTCATCTTTTATCCTGCTAAACTCACTTACTAGTAGGAGGCTTTTTGTTTTGTTTTTGTAAATTGCCTGGAATTGACTACACAGACAATTGTGTAGAAAACATAGGGATAGTTTTATTTTTTTTGTTTTCAACCTGTATGGTTTTTTCTTTTCCTTTTTGTTAATTACCTTTTCTTGGAGGGTAGAGATGGCATCTCTCTGTGTTGCTCAGGTTGGTCTCAAACTCCTAAGCTCTAGTGATCTGCCTGACTCAGCCTCCCAGAGTGCTGGGATTACAGGCGTGAGTTACCATGCCTAGCCTTATTTCTGTTTTAAAATGTTCTGCCTTAATTCAATGACTGGACTTTTAGTACAATGTGGAGTAAGAGTGCCGAGAGTAGACATCCTATGTTGTTCCCAATCTTTTCACTATTATTTATTTATTATCATGATTGGGTGTTGAATTTTGTCTAAAGCCTTTCAGTGTCAGTTGATATGATCATCTGGATATGGGTTTCATTCTTTACTCTTTTGATATAGATCCTATTGATCCTTTTATTTTTAGAGACACAGTCTTCCTCTGTCACCCAGGCTGGAGTGCAGTGGTATGATCATGGCTCACTGCAGCCTTGACCTCCTGTGATTCAGTGATCCTCCTGCCTCAGCTAATTTTTTGTTTGTTTGTTTGGTAGAGCCAGATCCTACTGTGTTGCCCAGGCTGGTCTTGAACCCCTAGCTTCAAGTGATCTTCCCACTTCAGTCTCCCAGTGTTAGGTTTATAGGCAGGAGCCACCACACTTGGCCTGATTCATTTTTTTGACTGTTGAACCGGACTTGCATACCTGGAATAACTCTCGCTTGGTTGGTCATGAATGAAAATGAAAATACAATATATGGAAATATGTGTGTTTTTTTTTTATTTTTTTCTTTTCATATCAGATGCTTTACATGCTAATGTCATAACAGGGTTCAGGGTGACATATCCCACACATATGCATGAACACCCAGTCATCACACTTAGGAACTACAAAAGAAACACCAGTTGAAAATTTTTGTACAAATCTAGGACTTTTGCATTCATGAGAGTTACTGGTCTGTGGGAGTTTTTTTGTTTTGTTTTATTTTTGTTTCCTTTTTTGGGGGGTACCATCTTCATCTGATTTTGTCATCGAGATAATAAGGGCCTCATAAAATGAGTTGCAAAGTGTTCCCTACTCTGTTTTCTGGAAGTTTGCATAGAATTGGAATGAATTCTTTAAATATTTGATGTAATTCTCCAGTGAAACCATCTGGGCCTGGAGATTTTGTGTTCAGAAGTTCTTAATTACAAATTTTATTTGTTTAATGGGTATAGGATGATTCAGGTTAACCATTTCATCTTGCCTGAGTTTTGTTAGTTTATGATTTTCAAGGTATTTCAAGGCCCGTTAGGGAAGCAGAAGTTGCACTGAGTGTCTTCTGCAAGAGAACATCTTGGATGTTCCGAGGGTGATGTTTATAGCATTTCCTTAATACTCTTTAATGGCTGCAGGAGCCTTTTGGAGAAGCCCTGTTTTATTCGTGATGTTTTTAGTTTGTGTCTTCTTTGTTTTTATCTTTGTCATAAAATTTATTAGTTTTGTTGATTCCATCCAGATAACCAGCTTTTTGTTTCATTGGTTTTTCTCCATTTTTCTGTTTTCAATTTTATTGACTTCTGCCCTTTATTATTTCTGTTCTTCTGCTTGTTTGATTTATTTTGTTCTTTTTGAAATTTCTAAGATTATTGGTTTATCTTTTTGAAATTTTTTTTCTTTATTGGTTTATCTTTTTAATGTTTCTTTTTTTCCCTTTTTTTTTTTTTTTTTTGAGACAGAGTCTCACTCTGTTGCCAGGCTGGAGTACAGGGGTACAATCTTGGCTCACTGCAACCTCCACCTCCTGGGTTCAAGTGATTCTCCTGCCTCAGCCTCCCGAGTAGCTGGAACTATAAGCACGCACCATCCCTCCCAGCTAAGTTTTGTATTTTTAGTAGAGACAAGGTTTTACCACGTTGGCGATCTCTTGACCTAGCAATCCGCCCACCTCGGCTTCCAAAAGTGCTGGGATTACATCATGAACCACCATGCCCAGCCTGTCTTTTCTCATTTCTAATGTGAACATTTAGTGCTTAAATTTCCTTCCCAGCGCTGCTGAGCTACACTCCACAAATGTTCATATGTTGTATTTTCATTAATATTTCCTTTGGGACTTCTTTTTGGCCCATGCATTATTTATAAGTACGTAGTTTTAATTATCAAGTACTTAGAGAGTTTCTTCTTTTTCTATTATAGATTTCTAGCTTGATTACATTATGTTCTGAGAACATATTCTTATGATTTGAATTCTTTTAGATTTGCTGTGATTTTTTTTATTGCCCCAAATGTATTTTGTCTTGGTAGATGTTCTGTTGGCTTTAAAAATATGTGTATTTTGCTCTTGGGGAGTGGGATTTTGTACAAATGTCAGATTTTGCTGATTGACTGTTCAGATCTTTTGTAAATCCTTGCTCCTTTTCTGCCTAGTTTCACTCTGTCACTTAGGCTAGAGTGTGCAGTGGCACAGACATGGTTCACTGCAACCTTGACCTCCTAGGTTCAAGGAGTTCCCCTGCCTTAGCCTCCCAAGTAGCTGGGACTGTAGGTGTGTGCCACCACACCTGGCTAAACTTAAAATTTTTTGGAGAGATGAGGCCTTGTTCTGTCGTCCAGGCTTGAACTCCTGTCCTCAAGCAATCCTTCAGTTGGCCTCCCAGAGTGCTGGGATGACAGGCGTGAGCCACTGCACCTGGCCTCTGCCTAGTTTTAACAGTTGCTGAGAGGAGGATGTTGAAGTTGATGTCTTCTTGGTGAGTTAATCCTTTTGTCATTATGCAGTTTTTATGGTCACTTTCATTCCACCCCATTGGTGAAGGAGGGGTAAATGGATGAGATTGATAGTAGTGTTTTAGTCACATATACCCACAGCTCAGAGGAGGATACTGCATGCCAAGCAGGGTAGGATGGGCAGTGTACTCAGTAGCAGAGTGAGGGCTGGGGTTGGGGGAGGCAGGCAGGCTTGATAGTAACACGAGCGCACAATGACCATTAGTTCCCAAAGGGTTTGTGATTGGCTTGTTTGAATAAATTCATGGGCTGGCAGACAGGTGAAGTGAAACTTGCTAGGCCTAGGTGCAGCTGTTCTGGCTGACAAAAGAACTAGCCTGGTGGGGAGGCTTTCCTGCTAGGTGGCGGGGGTAGGGGCTGTCTGGTAGAAACAGAAAAACCCATGGCTAGGCCTTTGGGACCCTGTGAGGCTCAAAGATATGAAGGCAGCATAGGAAATTTCAGATCTTAAAATTTAGCAAAGACCCTCTCCAGCTCTGGTAAATTATTTTGCTCTGAAGTCCACTTCAGGAGATATTAATATATTCACTCTTGCTTCCTTAAAAATTAATGATTGCATAGGATATCTTTCTCCATTCTTCTACTTTCAGCCTACTTAGGTCGTTAAGTGAGGTTGAAGTTTCTTATGAACAGTATCTAGCTGGGCCATGTGTTTATTATAGCTATGCTCTCCATCAATCTGTCTTTTGGTTTATTGAGGCCATTTACATTTAAGGTGCTTTTTGTTATGTAATTGCTTAAGTCTGATGTTTTTGTTACTTGCTTTGTTTGTTTCTTTTTTCTTTCCTTCCATCTTGATTTATTTCTGTATAATATTGTTGCATGTATCTCTTTGTATAGTCTTAAAGTGTTTGCTCTGGATGTTACAATATGGGTATTGTAATATAGTAGTCTACTGGTACCAGTATTTACCATTTCAAAGCTGCCTTCCATTTATGTCTCCTTTTATAAATCACTGGCTTGAGTATTAGGTGGTGGTATAGTTTTAGTTTCAGCCAACAAATGTGATTTTAAGAACTCGGGATTGTCTAGTGTATGTATCCACATTTCTAGTCTTTCTTTTGTCCCCCCTCACATATTTCCATATTCATCCCTTCTGCATAAGAACTTTCTGTAGTCATTTACTTATTTTTTTGTTTTAATTTTTTGTATTCTGGAAATGACAGCACATATTAAGCATTTCTAAATTTACTAGTGACAAATTCCTATAGTGTCTTCCTCTGGGAATGTCTTTATATCTCTCTCCATTTCTGAAGGGTAATTTCACAGGATATAGAATTTGTGGCTGACAATTCTTTTTTTTTTTTTTAAGCACTTGAAAATGTTGTGACACTTCCTTCTGGCCTCCATGATTGTAGAGGAGAAATACACTGGTATTTGAATTGGCGTGTCCCTACAGGCCTTCTGTAGGGGGTCTTTTTGGTCTTTGTTTTTAGTTTTGAAGGTTTAATTGGTGTTGCTTTCTTTGGTATACTTTGAGGTTTGCTCAGCTTCTTGAATCTGTAAGTTTATACCTTTCACCAAATGTGGGAATCATCAGGAATTAGTTCTTTGTGTGCTCTTGCAGCTCTGGTCTCCTGTGGGAACTCAGATAACATAAATGTGGAGTCTTTTGTTATCGTCCCACAGGTCTGTGCAGCTCTGTTCATTTGTTTTTAGGTTATTTTCTCTCTGTTGTTTAGACTGGGTGAATTATGTTGATCAGGCTTCAGGTTCTCTGATTCTCTCCTCTGTCATCTCTATTTTACTCAGTAGAGCCCATCCACAGACATTTTTTTAAAATTTCTGCTACTGTATTTTATATTTCTAATTTCCATTTGATTCTTCTTCATTGTCTTTGGTGAAGTTTTTAGTTGTTTGCTTGTTGCCATGAGATTTGTAGTTGCTTGTTGAAACACTTTTATACTGGCTATTAAAAGCAATGACTCAGATGGTTCCAGCATCTGACTCATTTCAGTGTTGATGATTTCAGTTGTCCTTTCACATTCAAATTATGATTTTCTCAGTAGTATGGCAGGTGATATTCTTTTGATTTCTACACATTTGGGTTATTCTGTTAGGAGGCCTATGTAACTTTTTTTTTATTTTTGCAGGTAGTTCTCCTGGTTAGGTCCTGGTCTATTTTGTGGGCTGTGATTCCAATGACAATTTAATTACGGAGCCTAGATGGTGCCATTTTGGTCTGTTTGTCTTATCTGGTATCACTGGGACTCTCCCACCAGTCCCTGCTGGTAACCACCTGAGGAAACAGGGGAGCGGTCCCAGGCTGGGCCACCTGCTACAGCTAGGTGGGTGGGGGATGGTTGCCTTGGTGTGTGAAGCTGGTTTTCTTGTTGTGTGGAAGATCTCCTTTGACCTGGGATGACTGAACCTGCCTGGGTTGCCTTCTGTTGCTAGGTTGGGAGTTGGGAGCCACTGGGCCTGGGTCACCCTCTTGTTGGATGGGGTCCAGGGAGACACCTGGCCACTATGCATTCCCCAGTGCTAGAGTCCCTTGGCAGGCTTTCTCTGTCCACCTTTCAGAAGTCTCCACTGATCATCTCTTGTCTACTATTTCTAGAGTTGAGGTTACACTTCTTAGTCAGGAGGGAATAATTTGTTCTCTTCTCTAGACCAGAAGTCCTTAGTGATGGTTCTGGGTTGTAGCTGTGTTAAAGGAAGAATTGGCATATTGTTGATGTTGAGTCTTTTTGTTCAAATGAGGGCAAATCATTATTCCGTAGATAATATTACAACACCAACTTCCTTGGATTTAAGAACGTTGTTAAGGCAAGGAAAGTACTTAATGCAGTGCTTGGTGTAGAGAGCACTTACGAGTGATGGCGGTGATGCTATTCCTTTTGTCCTTCGGTAGCTTATTAACGTTTTTCTTCTTTTTTAAAAAATCAAACTTCCAGCACATTTCTTGTTAGGTTTATTCCTATGTGATGCTTTCTTTGCATTTATTACAAATAGGAGCTTCCTGTCTGTCATATCATCTACCTGGTTCTTTGGCTTTTATGTGAATATGTCTTAATAGCCTTCTAAACGTTGGTCTCCAAATAAGTTTTAACTTGTCTATTTCTTTTATATCCTTTCTTTCCTTTTTTTGAGACAGGGTCTCACTCTGTCACCCAGGCTGAAGTTCAGTGAC